ATCCAATCCTAGGCATGGCAATAATAATAATAATAAAAAAAGCTCTATTGCACGTTAATCGCGCATGCATTGCAAATTAAGATTTAATTAACTGCATCTTTTTCTAGATTATTAACGGCTACTAAATCTAACAGTTTTGCTCTGGAGTCATTAAATGGTTCGACTTAGGGAGTTATCCACACTTATTCACTAATAGTATATTGACACGTGTTCTATAATAGATATGATTCGGACATGTGTCAATACATTAAGTAGTGGATGACTCCATAAGAAAACCATCCGATGACTCCATATAATTTTTGTTAAATTTAAAAGGTGTTAATTAAGTTAGAAGGCTAGACCTCTATATTGGCATTTATAGAGATTATATTCAAACATGAAAGGCGGATTTAATGTCACTATTAATTCAAAATCAGATATTTTGAGTATATAGTTTCTTTTCCGTTGGTTAAAGTCTTGCATAAATTAATGTGCAGACAGACACTACAGTACAATTTCATTCAGGGAATTTGTACATTTTCAAAGACTATATATGTTCCAAAGCTGCTATTAGTCTATTTTCAACAGGGATATTATTATTTATTAGAGTATTTGTAGAGTTATTTTTTTATTCCACGATCCTCTTAAATTATCTTCAACATCAGATCTTGAAAATTCATGAATTATAACAGATATGAACAGTGGGCAGGTTTGTTTTGCAAAAAATAAAAAGACAAAAGCTACTCACATGTAGTATAATTCAAGATCCAACTACTTCGAACACCCACATTACATTGGGTCTAATTTTACATATGTGACATATAAATAGACTTAAATCCTAAATAATATGGACAAATTCAAGTAAAAAAATTCAAAAGTTATTCAATGCAAAAGTAAAATACTAAGTCTAGCATACATGTCAACCAATAAAAATGCTCTAATATGTTTCCTTTATTAAAAGAAAATTTAAATTATGAATAAATGATGAGTGTTTGAGTTTGTACTTGGGTCTAAAATAGACCCAAGTGTGGACTTGGTCTCTTTTTTTTTATTGCCACATAAGCTAGACTATGTCCACTTTTAATTGTATTGGGAGACATTTTTTAATAGACTAAGTCTATTTTCTATGTGGCACATGGTATTTTATTAAGAGACCCAATGCATTGTGGGTGTTCTCATTTCCCTCGAGGATTATATAAATGAAATTTTTCAGAAGTAAGTTATGTAATTTTGTGAAGTATAAAAAGTAGTCTCGTTACAATATAATTAATTAATAAATTTTGCTATGATACTATCTCTTCGTCATGCCTAAAGCTGTAGTCGGTCAGGCAGTTTAGAGTATGCCAAATTCAGGCATTTTAAAATGTTAAAATGTCATTAGATTATCCGATTTAATAGCTACGATTTATTTTTATTTATTTCATTGAGCACTATTCTCATTTGTACTTAACCTCTATATATATATATAGAATTATGATCATATGAGAATGAAACATAGTGAAAGAAATAAAAATAAATCTGTGTCATTGAATTTGTCAAGACAACGGACATGATCAAGTCAAATTTTAATAATATTGTTTCATTTATTTCTTCAATTACTCGCAAAATAAAAAAGTAAAAATATTGTTTTTTCACAAAAAAAAAAATGGAAAATTCACAGCATGAGCTGGCACAGGCATTGATTATATTACTATTTCAACTCACTGTTTATTTGGAAGATATTCCACAAAAAACCATTTGAGCTCGAATCAATATTTCACAATTACCAAGTACATTTGTTCAATCTCAATTAACTAACAAAATCAATTATGCACAAAGGAAAACCGAAAAGGTCGAGCCCATTTCATTTCTGGGCCTCAAACATCATTAACACGGTTTGAGCTTCGATCTTCAGAAATCAGCAATAAGTTAATGAATTGGGCTCGTAAGTAAAACGTGGGCTTACAAAACTGTTAGATTCAATAATCAATATCAAGTACCCTGATTATCAAAAAATGAAAATAAAAAGTTTTAAGGTGGTACGGTTATGTACAGGTGTCTATCTATTCCGGCCCGTAGACCCATCGAATGCCAACCGTCGAATTTAAGGGCTGAGCCAATGATGGTTATGAAGGGGTAGAAATCTAAATGGCGGGTCCCATACAATTTAATCGGTGGGCCTGCGCAGCATGTGACCATTACCATCTTTAACCTGCTCAAAAATCATGGAATCAAATGGCATATTGGCAATTTTGGGAATTGGGATGAATACATTGTTTCTTTTTTCCCCCTACAAAAATATCTCAAGACTCCTAGATTTTAACATGGTGGTGATGATTATAAATGACCAATTTACATAATTGATTGGTAAATAACTACAAAAATATTAAATAAAAAAATTATTTCTGCCTAACAAACATAAATATTTAAACAAATATTAAATATTAAATGCTACTCATCACACATAACAAATATTAAATTTTAATCTGACAATCATATTTTAGTCAAGTATTTATGTTTAAAAGTTTATTTATTTATGGAAGCATAAGTTCATTTATTTTACATTGTAAATTGTATGATTCGATGTATCGAACAGAAAGATCATATTATCAATTCCTTGTAAAATAAATTATATAATCACAGTCTAAACAAATTTGAACAACCTGGTTGGTAAAAAACTGTAGTGTGATTTTAATTCAATTGGTCTTTAACTGATAAATTATTCTAATACTTTGTTAAGTATTGAATGAACCGCGGAAGGATAAGATTATTTGAATACTAACCGATTAAATAATCTAGACCGTCAGTAATTGATGCGTACTCTTAACCCGTAATATAATAAACATGCATATATATATATTCATTACTTGTTTATTTGATTTACCAATGGTGATTCCTGTTTTATTAGAATGACTTACTCGATACTTTGGTAAATAATAATACTTATATGATGTGTTGTTACAATTATTTACGGTCACTATGTCTTGGTCCGCCTGGTTGATTACGTCCCCAAAATTAGCTCAAGAATGAATATTATGTTAAGCCATGCGGGTGGACTAATTTCCAACATAATGATTAATGAACTGAGTGGTACTAATTTCGAATCATGCGGGATAAAAGAAATTGATTAATTTTATTGTCAGTAATTTAATTAACCAATGGACGTTATATCTTAAACATAGGGCAGACGGATTAATTTCTAACATAATGATTAAGGAACTAAGTGGTACTAATTTCGGATCATGCGGGATAAAAAAAAATGATGAATTTTATTGTCAGTAATTTAATTAATCAATGGATATTAAATTTTAAACATATGGATGATAAATCGATAAATTAAATTAATATTATTAATTAAGTAGGAGGTTCAAATCTATTGAATAAATTGGAGCTAAATGGATAGAACAATAATATTACTCCAGTGGATTATTTTAATATTTAATTCAATTAAAAATTAGGAATTACTTTATTCTCTATAATTATTTTCCTAATTAGAAGTATATAATTTTTTCTACAATATTACCAATGGTTATGAGATTTGGGAGTCTTTTAGAAGGGGTAATTAGGTTGGAAGAAATTAAGTCTTCTAGAAGGGAAAGAAGTTGGAGAATATAAGGTTACCTAACCCTAATTAAAAAAGCCCATATTTAGCACCACCTTAAGGTCTCTAATGTAACCTATAAATACACTATGTCCCAACCTCTCATAGATACACGTGTGAGGGCCAATTTTTATGTCTTGAAAAAGAGAAGAAAATTGTGTATTACAACACCCGACGCACAACGACTCTCGGTGACCCAATCGCAACCGACCACTTCTCGGCGACCCGTGATCAACCGAGGAGGCCTAATCCAGTTGCCCAACGAAACTCTGGAGTTATGACGATCTTCTACAAAGGAAATCTACAGCATCGCAGAGTCAATAAAATTTTAAATGGTATTGTCCTAATTGGACATGGCCAAGGGTTGAATCGGCCCGTTGACCCGGCCCGGATCAACCGGTTTTTCAATCGAACCCTTACCCCTTAAGGGCCGGTTCAGGGTCGTGTTTTTCTCCTTTTTGACCCACCGGGCTGGACCGGTTCCAGATCGGTCCCGGATAAGAAGACGGGTCATTGTTTGTTTGTTTGTTTTTTTTTTTTTTTAAATTGGAGGCTCAATGAATCGCCGGGTCGGGCCGGTTCGAACATTATATTTAAAATTTCATGACTCGAACATTATTTTGATTAAGAATTCAGGGTTGTATGAATTTATGTTAGAACATGCAATTTTCAATGGAATTATGTTTTCCCGTTAATAGTTTCAGTGAAATTATTTTTAAAAAAATAATTATGCAAATAGGATTTTTCTGCACCAACTCGGCGAACAATATGCGACTTTTGTATATCACTGTTTTATCGCAGAATAGAAAATTTTTAAAATTAAATTTAAATAAAACAACTCTATGAGTGTTATGCGGTTATTATGCAATTATAAATTTGCCTAGTTAGTAGTTGCAAGTTAATTCACATAACAAGAATAATTGTTTATGATAATAAATTGGATCTACGATAACGATAACGCAACGATGATTGACCAAACTGTTCACCGAATTTGTGTGCAGTTAAGTTGTCTCTAACTGTCGCATAATATATCGCATAATATGTGTGCACTTATTGAAGGTGAAAAAGATAATTTATTAGTGAGCGACAGTGAAACTTTATATATATTTTGAGGTGAAAAAGACTATTTTCACCATTGAAAATTTAAAATATCTGGTGAACGTAATAGATACATAGAGACTGATGATGATAAGAGTATGTCAAGTATCATAGACAAAATTCAAACAAAGGATACATATGTATGTTTTGGTAGTCATAATTAGGTAAGTATCATAGATAAAGTTGAAACAAAGGATGGCGCATAAAAGCGTGATAGAAAGAGAGAGTGATGCATGATGACTAATAATGAAGGGAAAAATGGTACAAGTAAATAATAAATGCACATAGAGCTGTACATAATACTTGATTTTTTATTTTTAGTGGACCCCATTCAATGTGAATGTTATTTAACATTTCTCTTATATATGATCACAACAGGGGACGCCACCTGCCGCTTCCCGTCCGACCAAACTATCTTCCCTTCCGCAGAATCAGGTAGCGACTCTGTTGCGGTTATAGTCACTCTGTAATTTGATTGATTTCCGTAGGGCATGCTTGAAAAATTCATTGTCATCGGGTTCACCGTCAGAGTTACTCCTTGTGGATTGCTCACCGTCACGCTGTAACTAGTATTAACTTCACCAACATTTGTCACCGTCCTTTCAACCGTGATATTCCTATTCATAGCCTCAAATGACGGCGAATCAATAGAGATGGCTGGATAATTCAGATCCCATGGCTTAATTTCACTGCAATCGTCCGTCTCGTATTGGCGATTGGTTATGAGGAGGATGTCATCATTGGTATAATTCGAGGCGCACAGAAAATCCACATAATCGTCCGCGGCGATATCGTAGACTAATCCTGGATCATGGGCTTTCTCCGGGTCAATGTGACCCGCGCCCATATCAAAGATGCTAGCGTCCCTCATTGGATTGACTATCGCCTTCCCATCGTTGGCCTGTGTGTAAGCAGTGGTCATCATGGCGGAGCGGATCATGGCCGGGGACCACTCGGGGTGGGCTCCCTTCAAGAGAGCAGCCACCCCAGAGACATGCGCGCAGGCCATGGATGTGCCCGACAGCATTTTGAACTCGACTTCGTCCTCTGGCCATGCCGCGATGATGTCGACACCTGGCGCCATCACGTCGGGCTTGACAACGTACGATGAAACGCTATTAGGTCCTCTGGAGGATAAATCAGCTACCTCTGGAGCTAGCGAGTCGTTCCAGAATTCCACATCGCGGAATATCATCGTGGCTAACGGGAAGTTATTCTTCTGAAGATATGGAAATAGTTTTTCTCTGTCCAACTCGCTTATGACGAGGCCAGGCATGGTAAAATTTACGGTCATGAGGCTTCGGCCGAGCGGGTAATATTTGGCTACCACCACGCCAACACCTCCAGAACGTTTCACAAACTCCTCTATACTTGTGGCGTTTGACGACAATCTGCCGTTGCCAATGTCGTCAAACTCCGAATCACACATCACAATCATTCCGGTAAAGTTGGCCTTCGTCATGTTATTGCAAAGGCCTGCGTAGGTAATTTTGCAAGGATTGGGATCCAAGGGGGCCCCGCCGTAAAGCGAAGCCCCGTGCAGTGGTGCAAGCTCCCCTTTTACGAACACAAGATCGGCCGGGAAGCTTCGGTCGATCGTGCCTGCGGTCACGGTCGTCATCCACGGGGCAACATTGGTGATTCCGTTGCCAGCATACCAGCCGTCCCCGGCGGACGCAATGACCGAAATGCCCCTCGCCATGGCACCGAACGCCGCAACTGCGAGCGGGTCGTTTTCGTACGGAGAAGGGCCGTGTAATGTGGGCCCGAGGGACATGGAGATTATGTCGACCCCGTCCTCCACCGCTTTCTCGAGACCGGCGACAACGTCCGACTCCACGCACTTGTCGCCGTCGCATACTTTGTACGACGCGATTCGTGCCTTGGGCGCGACTCCAACGGCCGTGGCGCTCGTGTTATTCCCATACAACACGTTCTCGACGGCACTTCCGGCGGCCGTGGACGCCGTGTGGGTGCCGTGCCCGCCGTCCGTTACATTGGCATTATTAATGGACCAAGCGCCAATGACTTTGTTGTTGCACTCAACCCCTTTCGCCGTGCACGCCCCTTTCCAACTGCCGGCCGGGAGGGGTTTGAGGCCCGAGTCGTTGAAGCTACGGTGGGTGGACTGTATACCATTGTCGAGGAATCCGATTGTGACGGACGACCCGAAATCAGAGTCGGTCAACAAACGGTTAGGCACGGTGTACTTAGTATCTCCGTATAAGCCTAGAAAAAAAGGGGAGCGGGTGGTGTGTAACTTGAGAAGACGTCGGGGAAAACGGCAACCACCCCCGGCTGCTCCTCCAGCTGTTGGGCTTCCCACGGGGTCAGTCTAGCGGAGAAGCCATGGAAGACTGTAGAGTAAACATGAATTAGTTTTGATGAGTAGTACGTTTTGGATTTTGAATTTGAAGGATTATTATTAATATTATTATTATTCGAGTCTTCCACCAGGCTTCCGAGGATGGCCTCGTACCAGTGATGGACCTCTGGAAAAACCGATGGTTTCATCCTATTTTCAATTCTAACAATATATGTATCAACATTTTCGGCATGAACCAAGTATGCGAGGGAGAGAGAAAGAAAGAGAAAGAGAACAACATGGCCAACAATATGACCCATGTATATATATATATATATATATATATATTTTTTTTTTTTCAAA